ATATATTATATATTTTTATATATCTACTGTAAATTTGGTACTCAATGATGACCAAAGGATTAATGAAGATCAACATCCCCAAACAAGAAGACAATATATACTATGTATGAACTGAACTGATATACCCAACATTTCTGGCCGATTCGCCACGCCCAAGCGGGCGTCTTCCACACAATCTTAACACATTATCAAACGGGGGCACACACAGGAACATATAATATTATCTCTAACTCAGGTAAACAGGCGCAGGCACGGCAACACATTCCACAGCCACAATATACTCAATTCACTTCGGCAACGGCTATAAAAAGTTTCATCTGATCGAATTCGCAACACGTCCCGTATGATAATTGAGGGAAACACACAGCGGGAGGGTAGCTGATAAGGTAAAAGAAAGGTTTTAATATTGCGATGTCAATGACGGGGGTCTCTCTGAATATTACATCTGCGGTGGGGACCTCATCATTTGTAGTACTTCCATTTTTAAATCTTGCATGAATCACAAACTAATACACATTATAATGGAATTTTACAAACTTATTTATAAATTATCACAAATATTCTATACAAGGATTGAGATCTAGGAAATACTCAAAGTTTTCATTGTATAAATGTATAAATGTGTGTATGTGCGTATTTATGTCAGCACGAACAGTCTAATAAGCATATATTTATGTATGCATGTTCACTGGGTATGATTTTTTGTAAATACATAYATACATACACAAGTATGTGACGTAGAATTTGCACACATTTGTATTTGTTTATTTATACACATATGTACATATATATATGCATATATGTATGTTTCTTCATCTTACTCAATATATACAAATGCATAAATATGTAAGCACACACACACAGAGGCACACACGMATAGGTATATGCATATATAAATGTCTGCAAGTACACTGGATATGAATTTACGTTCACGTAGATATACATATGGTTTTATTGCAGCACATATAGATGAGATTCAACTGCTAATTAACTTTAAATTAATTTACCACCAAGCTCAGGTAAGGAGGATTCATATTCCATTTTATAAATGTTTATTTGGAGAATTCATATCCACAAGGCAGTTGAAAAACAATGTAAAAGCCGACTTATACTGCCAGGGATGGAGTTCACTATTATTATATATTCGATTTCAGTACTGTTGGAAAAGTATTTTCGATAACAAATATATATTCGATATTTTTAATTAGGACAACAAAAATTTCATATAAAAACATGTTTCTGCTGACTGAATTTCCCATTGTTACTATCGATTTGATATCTACCGATAATAATTTGTATTCATAGGCGGAATTGTTAATATTGAAAGGATAGAAATTTAAAACCAGCAACTTCAGTATTAAAACATCAGTTAAATATTATCATTATTCGTAATTGATTTACCACTCAGCGTATAGGCCTTGCTTTAACATCTGTCATGGAAATATGCTTTCCACATTAAGCTAGATCAACAAAATATAATACAATATTTACCCAATGATATTAGCTAGTCTTCAGAAAGAAGCAAAGTTTTCATTAATTATTATTGATATAAAATTGTTTTTAATAATTCGTTTTTGGAAATGTTTATAATGGAAATCAGAAATTGAATATAATTCATTTTTACAACAAAAGTCCAAATTAATTATTGCTGTTTAGTATATATATGTATAGAGTAAAAATCAATAAATAATTGTATAAGTTAATATTTGTATGCAATACTCACGGACCGTTACGGCCTCTGGTTATAAGCCCTACCCAGTGTAATTTGTTGCTTTTAATTGTGTAACAATATATACATACATAAATCTACACGAATAATCTAATTTTTTTTATTATGTAGTCAAATGCATACAGTCGGTGTGAAATGAATTACACCCCTTATAATTATTTTATTCGATACTAATCTTAGTAAGTATAAGAAATAAAAGAAACAATGCAATTTAAATACAATAACTTAGGAAACATAAAATTTGCTCTTTGGGGTCTTATATTTAATCTAAGGGCGTCCAGAAAGTTTTCCATCGATATATTCGAAAAGTTATGATTAAAATTAAATTAAATTATAATATATATGTATTTCTATATATATAATCGTTAAACTTAAAAAATAATATAGACACACTTTAAAGCAACCCATTTATGTTTCAGATATAATATAAGGCCTTAGAATCAATGGTGATCAAATCAAAAGTGGAATAGCTTCATTGCTGTTATCTTATTATAAAGCAAACAATCTCGAACAATCCAATCGTTATGAGATTTGAGGAATTTACATATGTGGGCTATAGCAGTTCTTACATTTCATTAAGGGAATCGGGAGAAATTTAATTATGAAAGTTATGGAAATTTACATTTATTTGGTTGCCGACTAAATGAAAAGAATATCTGGGAAGCCCCAATATACTTAAGAATTTGTCTCTCTTTCGTAGTGTAACCCTAGCCACCCATTGCAAAAACTCCCTTTATATATAAAATTTGTAATCCCATTTCATTGAAGAAAATGATTGGATCTTTAATCCTTAAATTTCATTAAATTCTTTTCCCACATATTTGTTTAGTTCTTTTACTTTGCATTGATATGTATATTAATTTTAGTTTTACCAAACAAAAAAAAAAAAAGAAAAAGAAATTTAAAAAAGACAAATTTTAACAAAACAGATTTTGCTTTCGTTCTCACTTTACCACCTTAGAGAAAAGTATAAAGCCCCAGTAAAACAATTCATTTTTCACCTCTTAGTTATTTTAAGAGTTATATAGTGTGTATATATAACTAGTAAAATAAACAAAAAAAAATTCAAACAAATATACACTTTATAATTGTTTTCGAACCATTTCGGACAACAATGCGGAATCGTTGTTGGACATGACAGCTCCAGGTGGTGCATCTTTATTTCGATAAGATGAGTTCGGGGCACGTTGGATTGTTCGATCCTCGTAACGCGTTCGTCCCTGAGATGCCATTGGTCTATTTAGAGTATTGTTAGCATTATTTGGTGAGCTTGGCGGGGTGCTATGTGCTGCAAAGTGTTTATTAACGAAATCCTGTTCCTTCCATCCATTCTTTTTATATACTTCACGCAGCTCATGGTGCTGCCACATGGTGTACAAAACCTGACTGGCAAACTTGATGACGCACGTGGTATATTGTTCCTTGCGTCTTGTTATATTCATTAGCCTATCTACACCACCGGCGTCCAAGAGCGAACGCGCAAACTCTGGATTCTTCTTGATGACTTCATTGATGGTGGCCAATACTGCTGTGATGGTGTCGTCTGACGTATTTTGGTCATGTTGAGCGTTCCCAGATGGTAGTTTTTGGACTAAATCGCGCATGGCGTACTTTCCAATCAATTCTTTGTTTCGTTGGTCAATAGCAAGATTGCGCAGTGCTGTGGCAACGGCACAAACGACACGATCGACCTCCATTCGCAACAGTTCGACCAGTATCGGAAGGCCTTTCTCTTTGCGCACCGTTGCGCGAATATCAATGCTCGGCTGCCAGTAGCAAGCTGACAAATTTTGAATTGCACCGGCAGCGGCTTCAAGCGTTTCGGGATTGGAGCAGCTTTGCAGCAATGAGAGATAGTATTGCACCACTTCCGGTTGCCAGAGCTGTTCATATCCCTTGTTGGTTTTATTGTTTGTTCGGGTATTCTTTGCATATTCCGTTGAAAATATATAGTCTTGCTGCGACTCATTCAGTGCCAAATCCTTCTTCTTTTTACTTGTGCCAAAGCAGCCCAAATTCTCACCTAAAAATAATATATAACAATACAATTATACATATTTATAAAAAATATGGTGTTTATATATCAACTAAATATTACATTGCTTACCTTTCGATGAGGATGGAACAGTCCTTTCCTGTATAATAAATGGATGCTTATCATAGTTGGGATCCTCAACTTCTTGGCATCGATACGATAGATTGCGCAGAATGCAAACGCAATTCTCAACTGTTTTATTTCCAATATTATTCTTTTCAATGGATGATCGAACGACGTAAAGTAGAGACTCGACCAAGTTCTCGCAGTTACGAAGGCATTCTCGCGCATGTTCGCCAGCTGAGCTGACATTTCTCAAAACTCCAGAAGCATTGCGGAATACAGTGGAGAAACATGTCTCGCCGCAACAGATAGGATCCCATCCCGAATGGGGTTTTATTACATTACATACTATAGCAGCCAGCGCCTCATCAATAATTGACCGTTTAATGTCTTCGCATGAGGACATATTCCATAAGACTCCAGTTACCAATTCTTTGACCTCAGTTTCTTGAGACCGGCAAAGTAGATGCACCAAAGCTTCGATTCCGCCGGCATTCTTAATTGCCCGTTTATTCTCATCGTTTTGCCTGCCATACGACAGATTGCGCAATGCACCACAAGCATTTCTATGAAAAGTGAAACAAATGGAAAAATGTATTAGTTTTATAATCATGATTTGTTAAGTATGCTTCATTTTATCATAAGGGCTATGATTTTAAGCACTCACTTATGAATTTCCGGAGCATCATATGATAATAATCGGATTAGTGGCGGTATTCCCCCCAATGTTCTTGTCCGCTGCTTGTTCGGATCATCCATGTAGCATAAATGCTGCAGATATGCGGCAGCATTTGCTTTTATAGCATTATTAGGATTACTGAGAAAGCTTATAACTTCGGAGAGGTTTGGGTCACGCCACCTCATTGTGGAACATAGATCACTGTCCGAACCGCCAATGAAGTCCTCCTTGTCGCCGACTCTGGGCGGCACAGTGTTTAGGGAGCTCGTCGCAAATGGTACTAATTTGAAATCGCCTTGACCTTCAAAAGATCTGCATTGGGAATCAATAGCTGATTCAGATCCATTTAGGTTATTGTCGAAGGGACGTGAGGCGAATTGCTTCATATTTGCACTCACGCCCGGCAATCCATAATTGGAATCTGCAGTATAACCGTATGGTATAGCTGGTTCGTCTGTATAATGAGGCTCTAGCCCACATGGCGGTAGGCCAGGTAAACCAAAATCAGCTCCTTCATCAAACTGTGGTGCTTGTATATACCTAACCGTCGGTACTAAGGTATGGGGTTCCATACCGGGAATGGTCACTTCTTGCGAAGCTGCTTCTATTTTACTTTGAGATCCAATTGTAGAGCAATGGGGATTAATACGGGTCAGAGTCCCCATGCCAGTTGGCTTTGAAATATATAACGGTGCATTTGTATATCCGGCAGCGGTGTATTGCTCAAAGTTTTGAAAAGCTGAATATTGGGCTTGTATATGGCCCGCCTCCGTCACCAAGGACTGCTCCAAATTTGAATTCGGCTGGGGATTCATTTTGAAGCTTGTATAAAATCTGTAAAACAAAGAAACAAGAAGAAAATCAGAAAATAAGAAATTTGATAAACAGGATGTTTAACTTAAATAATTTTATAATTGGATCAATACGTAATTATGCAAACTGAAGGTGACTAAATAATAGTAAATTTAAAATATTATTTGAAGAATATAATTGAATATTTGATTGTTTTTTTCAGTAAAATAAGAAGACTACAAAATATTTTATAAATAAACAAATATCGGTTATTTGAGCCTAAATTTATACAAGAAATTATTCTGATCAGATTCCATTTTCATTCACATATCCAATTAAACAGAACTAACAAAGCTTCCTCAGCTACTCATACACATACATATATATACGTATATTTTTATCTACTTTAAATCTAATAAGAAATAATTAACTTATATATATGCTATTTATTAAATATAAATTTTACATTACAGCTTATAATAATTATTTAGTAGTTTTCTATTAACTTTGTGTGCTAATAATACATACAATTAGTTAATTGAGATAAAAATGCCTTTAATGCAAATGTTCAACTTTCTTCCAATTATTTGTAACACACACGGATTTATGTATATAAGAGTAACTTAGTAGCCGCCTCTACTTAAGGTGCGCAGATTGAAAGAATTATTGCCAGTTATACATACTACGTCCTCATACTAAGCTCAAAGATAAACCTTTAAACTTATCTGGCAAGATAATGTCTGACTCAGGCGAAGTCGTATAATACTGTGAATTTTATATGGAAGTATGTGTATATGTAAGTATGTGTAAATACGTATACAGTAGGTTAGTCAGTAGGTATGTATATAATTACATACATGTTGGTATTTTTGTAGAAACATACATAAATACATTAATAAACATCTGCATATTTAAGCGAACATTCAATGCATTCAAGCCGTTTTGTTTTGTATTAAAAAAAAAAAAAAAACCAAAGATTTAGATGTAAGCATATACATATGTATGTACGTACGTATATATGTATTTAATAAGGTAAACTTTTTTTCTCCTAAGACAGTTCGGCTTGTACATGTTTTTTTTTTAATTAACCTTAACTTACCGTTAAGTATGAATGTATATTTAGTTTTACGAACAGTTTGAGGCACACATAATTCAAGAAAGCCACGCCCCTTTAAGATAAGATTGTGTGTAAATATGTACTACATTGTATATACATATACATTTTCTGAAGTTAATGCACACAGTAAACAATCGAAAGTTCGTTAACAGTAATAATTTTATATAATATTTGTCACGAATATATTAATTTCAAGTCACTAATACCGACTTTAACAAAGCGGTTTTTGTAGCTGCATATGAACAAATATTTATATGTACATACTAAAAATATCGATTTTTCGCAGATTCACTTCCACTTTGACACTAATGCACATATATCTATACTTATATGTATAATGAATTTAATTCAATACAATTTCTATTGCAAACTTTGGAGCTTTAATCCATTAACAACAATTTTTCATGACAACATTGTAAATTGTTTCTAAACATTGATTGAATACGTGTGTATGTGACCATTCATACACACACACACACAAATATATGTGTGTGTATCATCCCATTGATATATGAGGTAAACATTCTTATAATTTAAGCTTGAAATTTTGTATTTTTTACTCACCTTAGAAATACAAGAAAGATATGATAACATTCATATTAATTGGAAAGTATGCGAGGCTTTTTTTTACTTTAATACAACTTGCACAGTACTTTACCAATATTATTCTTTTGTCTGCTTTCTTATTCAAATTGAAGTTGTTCGCGTATTTTCATAGTACGCGATTTTACCAGTTCTTTTGGAAAAAAATGGAACGCCGCTTTGGGACTACTTGGACTTGGAACATGTTAACTAGTTGATGCGAACTGAACTCGTGCCATAATATAGTTCAAGTAATGCAAAAATTATTTCCATTATTAAAATTTTAAATCAATTAAATCCATAGCACGAAATAAAAAATATGGACTCCGTGAAAACAGGGACTTATACATGTATATTCGGGAATATTGAGAAAACACGAAGGCAATTATAATTCAAGCGCAAAGTTTTCTACTTAGTCGATGCTTCAGTCAATTCAAAATTATAACCAATAATAATTCGATGCTTCAGCAATTAGTGCAGATTCACATTTTTAGTGCAGTTATTTGCTTAATAAAATATTGTCAATAATGCTTAATTTTCCTGTTGTGCAATACAGTCCATAAAATCAGAATATAATATTATAGTAACATATATATTTTAATAATTAGATACCTTTTAATAATTGGATCTTCCGAACGCATACGATAGGATAGGCGTGCAAAAACATCTATTAATCTTTTTTTCTGGTATTGGTCATGACGTACCCAAAGTCAAATAATAATCATCACTTAAAGTAATAATTTTGTCTATAAATTTGGACTCTGAAATAATAAAAGTTATTCTTGAATATTACAATTAACAATAGTTGAAATAATCTCTCTTTACGATAGTTTTAATGCCGGCAACATTTCGATAGTTTATTTTATTGTTCCATTTCCATCATTTCAACTAGCGGCAGAAGTCCCACCCAACTTTTGTTTGACTCGCAACTCATGCGTAAATCGATGCATTGGAACCACCACCCAAATTGATTAGTCCGGTTTTTCTTTGCGGTCGGAAGGCTAAAAAGCATTTCTGTTTAAACTGAAACATATACAAATTGCAATTGGTTTATAAATTTGGTAAAGCAACTCGCATATAGCAGAAAAATGGTAAGGGAATTTTACAGTTAATAATAATATAATTTTGGATTTAATATAACTTTAAAAGTGTGTATGTACGTTGATCTACACATGTGCATATCTTTCTGAAAGTACGATGATTCATATGTGTGTGATTGTGTGTATTCGCAATTTCAGTATACACTAAAAATATTTTCTTTTTTTTTTTGAGATGACGTAGAAATTTTTATAATTCAAAAAAAGGTTGCTTTATTAAGCATAAGCACACAATAATCATTTAAAAATATACATACTGAAATCCATTCATATGTATTGATATACATATGTATATATTCATACCAAATATGTATACTTGCAAAAGACTGTATGTATGTACATATACATATGTATATTAATGGATACATTGATATACATACACATGTATATATACATACGTATATATACGTAGGTAGACATTAGTCAGAATAGGCTGAGTAATATATGGAATATTAATTCGAAACTTCACAATTTGCGATTATATACGTATGTGAAAATGTATATATATAGATATCGAAAAAAATATATAGATATATGTATATGTATTTGACAATTTTGTATGTGGATATATATTTGTCTACCAATACATATATTTTCATATTTATAACAGAAATGAACGTATACATATACAAATTATTTTCGGTATTTTTATACATGTGTGTATGTATGGTTTTTTTTTTTTTTTTTATGATTATGCCGGCTTGGAATAAAATTTTTGAACAGTTACTGCATGTGCTTACAGAAAATTTTTTCCATTATTTATTAATGTACGTGAAAATTTTAAAATCAGTTTAGTTTAGTCATTTCCTGTTTAATTACCGGCAAATTAGCCAACGTAAAGCATACATCAAATTTTTCTCAATACATGTGCTATACCCTGTAGCAGACAGAAGAAAGCTCTTTCGACCCCATATAAAGTATTTAAAATTGTTGGTGTGCGTTGACTATTGTCTCCATTTAGACCTGTCTGTTTATATATGTATGTATGTACAACTACATATCATATATATGTATATATATATATATAAGCTCCACGTTGATCGCTTTTATCATAGCATAGACAGAACTAATTTGTAATCAATGTAAAAATTCGAAAAATCATAAAAGTATATTTCGTCTGCCACATACATATGTTGGTGTTATATACATATATATACACACATATATGTGTAAAAATATATACACATGAATACAGTCACATAAAACCGTTCATAGTGTGGGGCTAATAATGGATAAAGCACAACAGCTGCGTACAGTGGGAAGCAAGCGGATTATATATATGTATTGCTGAAAAAAACGAATTTTTTTTTTTTTTTCAAATTATTTTTGTTGAATATATGTATGTATAGAAAAAAAAATAGAGGAAAGACAGATATACTACTGGAATCTGTGTTAAGGGTATCGTCTAGTCTGCCACTCTTAGAACTAGAACACTTTTGTTTGTATGCAAGTATGTGTGCCCATATGCATAAAAAAATATATATATATATAAATCTTATCAAAAGTAGTAATAAGTTATCGTTTGTGATTAAAAAAATCTATTTATGTTTGCTTGTTTGTTTTTATTGCGAATGAATCAGTGTAATGGACAAAAAAAAGCTTTCTATGCCCATACAAGGTCAAGAAAAATTGTAAAGCAAGGTCGATAACAAAAAAATTTTATGAGCCATATAATAATTTCCGTGAATTGTTGTTCATCATTTATGATCAGACTGCAATTGCACAATTTCCGAAAGTTCGTTAAATTTTTGTTATTTTATTAATATATGGAAAAAAAATATGTAAATATAATATTTTTATGTAGCTCTCCAAAAGAAAAGAATATAGTTCAATAAAATGATTGCTTCTAATGCAATTTCTCAAGTGTACGAACTTCTCTTTAGCACGCTCTCATTGTAGACTTCTGAAATTCTTATTATTGACAGGCTTCTGGAGTAACTGTATCGGATGTATGCAAAACAACATACGAGGAAATAAAGAAGGATAAAAAACATCGCTATGTAATTTTCTATATTCGTGATGAAAAACAAATTGATGTGGAAACTGTTGGTGATCGGAATAGCGAATACGATCAGTTTCTAGAAGATATCCAGAAATGCGGTCCTGGAGAATGCCGGTAAGTTCTATGTGCAAAATGACTCATTCTTGACCCCGAATACTTCAACACTTTGAAATGCCTTAATAAAACTTTATCTTTGAGATAAAGGTATAAAAATAGCAGTTAATCTAGTTAATACAAGAACATTTAATTTGTTATTTAACTTAAACAGTATTTAATTTTTGTTTTATTTGTATGCATGCTACATTACTTTTATACTTAAAGAAATTTTTTAAAAAGTTTACTTTTTAGAAATTAATGTTTAATAGGAATTTAATAGTCTATAAAACTTATCTAGCAAGGTTTGTGCTATACGTTAGAATAAACTAATCCAACGCATTATGGCGCTGATTTCCAAAATTTATTGTTGACCTGTTTCAGAATAATAAATATAACTTATCATAAATCTACTGAAACTATATTCTCTGAAATTGGTTGTTTATTGCAGATATGGCCTCTTTGATTTTGAATACATGCACCAATGCCAAGGCACGTCCGAGAGCTCAAAGAAACAAAAATTGTTCCTTATGTCATGGTGTCCCGATACTGCTAAGGTATTTTTTTTCTTGCTTGACTATAAGAACTGGCTACTAAATCATTTTTATACTTCAGGTTAAGAAGAAGATGTTGTACTCTAGCTCCTTTGATGCATTAAAGAAGTCTTTGGTGGGAGTCCAGAAGTATATACAAGCTACTGATTTGTCAGAAGCATCTCGTGAAGCTGTTGAGGAGAAGCTTCGTGCTACTGATCGCCAATAGACTGCAAGGATAAATAGCTCTGTGCAATGCATTTGAATTGAAACACGTGCATGAATCAGTGATTATATTGTATCCGGTCAAGATCGCCAATTTGTATGAGAATTTTCTACATAATTTGTATTTTCAGTATAAATAAAGAAAATGAAAATGATAATTTAAAATGTCTGTATTCTTTAATAATAATAAAAAAAAAAAAAAAAAAAACAATATTTAATTGGATTTATTGAAGACAAAATATAATTTCCACTTTATTCAATTGATTATCTACATAAAATATCTGTCTATTTAAGAAAGCCCAAAATGATCCAACTGGAAGTCTTGGTGATCGCAGTTGATTGTTTATCGTTGATATGTTCATCAAAATAAAACTGTATTCCACAATTTCCGATGTATCATGGTCAAGCTTTAGAACGGGCTTTATAGCTAAATAAACCTGGAATCAAAGAGTTATTTTGTTTATTTCAGTATTTTCTTTTCAAAGACAAAGACAGCTTCATATTAATTCCTATTGCTCGATAAAAATAAACGATTGTTAGTAGTACAAATATAGCAACCTGCACTTATTCGCAAATCATAATATCTAATCAATTTATTAATGTATTTTGAATATGAAAAACTACACAAATATTTAATACAAAATGAAATTATTGTTGTAAAAATAAAATGTTTTTCTATTATATACAATATGTATAAAAATTCATAATATTAATATATAAAGTTGCATATATTGACGATATCTTGACTTATAAAAATGTTGTCGTTCAATACAACTCTGGGTGCTTCTACGTTTGACAACCGGAAGTGACAAGAGAATATCCCTTTCCTTTTTACTACTGGCTTGTTAAATACATGTTTAAATTTTGAATTTTTTAATAAAAAGTTCAATGTAAGTAAAAGTAAGCATAAATTGTGATAATATAAATAACAGCGACTCCGTTTCTTCTAGATGCCGCGCGAAATCAAGGAGGTTAAAGATTTTTTGAACAAAGCACGCCGCACTGATGCTCGTGCCGTCAAAATAAAGAAGAACCCCACGAATACCAAATTCAAGATTCGCTGCTCCCGTTTCCTCTACACACTTGTGGTGCAAGACAAAGAGAAGGCAGACAAAATCAAGCAATCCCTGCCACCAGGCCTGCAAGTCAAGGAAGTCAAGTAGACCATCTCAATCTGAAA